CATATGGGCGAATATATCTCTATTTTTTTCGAGGCATCTTTATTCCTCAACTTTTTATTAGTGTTGAGCATATGGCTTTCCAAGGTGTTACGCTATAATTAAATCTCCTGCATTGCCATTTAGTTTACGCTCTGGAATTTGATTGCTCATGCTAATCCTTAACCTCTTCAACACACAAATCGCTTCCTAGATAGAAGGTTCTGCCTTCAAATATGAACATTAATCCTCGTCATTTCGTGTAATTTGGCTTTCTTACACTTCAAAGTCACCTTGAACATGAAACCTTAACCCTTTTTTCTAATGCAAATAACATCTTCAGCTTGTATAATAATGTTTAAAAGCGTTAAATCAGTAAAAGATAAATTTAACCTATTATACCAAACGATGAATAAGAATTTATTTCCCATATGAGATAATATATTTTTATTTATGTTGTCTTCCTCAGCATCCAAAAATTATTTGCCTGGACGAAGATCAGAACATGTGTCCATATATCCTCACGATAACACACCACCCTCTCTCTCTCTCTCTCTCAAACCGAGCCTTCCTCTCTCTCTTTTCACTATGTGCTCAGATTTCATGTCCACCATTGCCACTACCGATTTCATGGACAATTTCGGTATCTGTGCTCTTTTGCCATGATCAGAGACGCAAGCTTTCCATTCTCTCTCTTTCTCTTTCCAGCTACTTTGCTCACCTCTGTTCCCGTTGGGAATTGCTATTCCAGACAAAACCCGAAGTTTTCAATTCCTTGTTGTCCGATCAGAGATATTAGAAAGGTTTCAAAGGGTACATCCACGTGAGCGCATTAGAAGACTCCCAACTCCGTCTCTGATGGTGAAAGCCGATAAAGTGGTCGGCTGCATGTAAAATCCAATGCAAGTGTCTCGGGGAAATTCCAAGCGGACTTATATGTACACAACATGCCGTAAGATTCTATTCATGCACCAAAAATGGTCTTCAGACCCCCTCCTCACAGCATGGTCGTGAAGAAGAACTTGCTTCGACGTATCTGAGAATAACTTGCAATCTCTCAGTAGGTTGAGGATGACTTCCATGCTAAAACCTCGGAAGCTCTGCTCTGTGGACCCGGCGAGGTGTTCTTCACTGGGTTTTCAATCCTTTGAAGCCTCAAAAGCTAACAAGAAGCACGAGGCCATTGTCTTAGATATTGTTGAGGAGCAGAGGAAGAGAAAAGAGGCAATCTAAGGAATGGAGGTGCACTGATAACTGTTACTGGATGATAGGGTATATGTGTACTAGTTGGTGGCTTCTCTGTTTCTTGTATAGCTGCTTGCCTGGCTTTCAAGTGGCCGAATCACCTGGAATTAGGCTTAAACTTGAAGGAGTGACTGCTCTTCATCCTGTTGTTCTTGTGCCAGGCATTGTAACTGGTGGCCTAGAACTGCGGGAAGGCAGGCCTTGAGCTGAAGGCCTCTTTCGAAAGAGACTCTGGGGAGGTAGTTTTGCTGGTATCCTCAAAAGGTCTGCGTGATGCTAGATGTGTTCGTTATCTATATCCTACACCCTTATAGTAAAACTTCAAATTGCATCAACAATACTATATTACCAGTCGTGTTACGGTATTCTATCTCTCGGATCGTGCTGCGTCCTCTGTTTGTTTTCGTTGAGTAGCTGTTAGTACAGAATTTGAATTGTGAAAATGTTTTTGACATGAACAATGGGAGTCGTGGTTGGGGCTGAGTCTTTATAAGCTTTGTTTATGCTGCATTTTCAGGCCTCTGTGTTGGTTGGAGCATCTCTCTCTCAATAATGAGACAGGGTTGGATTCACCGGGCATTCGGGTAAGGGCAGTACCCGGGCTTGCTGTTGATTCTTTATTTTGGAATGGTCTAATTGAGAATTTGGCAAAAGTTGGGTATGAAGGCAAGAACTTGCATATGGTTTCCTATGACTGGAGGCTGTCCTTCCAAAACACAGAGGTATTATATGTGTTTCACGAGCTCTTTTTCCTCTGTTCAGTTCTTGTAAACAAATGATCTCCATAAGAGTATCACATAAATTGATCTCGATAAGACGTCGTAGTTTGGCGATAGGTTTCCTGTTTCACAAGCAAGATTATAGATAGTATAAGATCCCATATTTGACTTACATTATCTGAGAAGGAAGAAGAAAATGTGAGACTGACTGACTCCTAACATGTTTACTTTTATGCTCCCCCCATGAGTGTTTATTTCCTGAGGTTTTGACGCATATTGGACGACATAATTTTGAACGGAAAAAGCAGATTCGGGACCAAGCTCTTAGTAGATTGAAGAGAAAATTTGAGCTTATGTATGTAACAAACGGTTTTAAGAAAGTGGTAGTGGTGCCTCATTCTATGGGAGTTCTATATTTCCTTCACTTCCTAAAATGGGTTGAGACTCCTCCTCCCATGGGAGGTGGAGGCAGTCCCAGTTGGTGTGACAATCACATCAGAGCAATAATGAATATTGGTCCACCGTTTCTTGGTGTTCTGAAGATGGTTAGAACTATATTCTCTGCAGAACGCAAAGACGTTGCTTTGGTCAAGTGAGTCTCTGCAATGGCATCCCTAATATTTGATTTCCTGTATAGAATTTTCTCGAGCGACTTGGATTTATGGAGATTATATTTCTTCATCTTTATTGAAACTGAAAGCTGTAACTGGGAATAGGTCAAAAGTTGGAGATGCGCTTTTTCAGGAAGGATATTGCATATTCTGTGTGATCTATACTTTTATTTGTATTCTGCTCAGTAAATAATGGAGTGAATTAATTTTGCAGAGCTATGGCTTCTGGCGTTCTAAATTCTGGTTATCTCGGTCTTCAAACACTGGAGCATGTCATCCAGGTATATAGAACTTGGGATTCAATCATCTCATTGATGCCAAAGGGTGGCGAAACCATCTGGGGTAACTTGGATTGGTCTCCGGAAGAAGGGAAACTGTGATCACTTTGTAAGTGACAATGGTTATGATGGCAGCTGTAAGAAGAAAGGTTTCCTGCTAAAAGAGCTCACCAAGTGTGGAAGAATAATCTCATTTGGCAAGGCAACCTCACAATTGCCTTCTTCACTTCTTGCAACACTCGAATCAGAGGTACCACATTAACAAGATTATTTTTACCCACGTTTTCTTGATTCAAAATAGACAAAGCTGGATTTATTACACACTGTTTTGTGATGTATGATGGAGTGGAAGAATAGAAGCAATAGGTTGTCACTTTCATGCTTTTAGTATGCTCTATTGTCGGAATTAGAGGATAACTTTTTTTGCAGTTCCTGGTGCAAAGTTCATTTCCTTTACAGTATAAGATTTAACATCAAAAGTCATCACTGTCAACTTTGTTTTCTCCCTGTAATTGATTGCTGGATATAGTCATGTAAAAGTCAATGAACAGATTATAATTTCCCTCCTCATTTTATTTGAAGACGAAAATTACACAATGTGCCGTTCTACCACGATGACACGATGCCATGGGAAAGCTTTCCCCGATCTTGACTTCGGCCTAACTGCGATGGAGCCAAGCCACAATTAGGCCCAAGCTGTAATTAAACTCAAGTGATGTGGCCGTATGGCTCAGCAATGGCAGCCGTTGTGTCTATATTAATTTAATAAATCAATATTTGAATTTTTACTGAAAGAGGTGTTTATATTTAGTATTTGATAATATCTTGAATATAATTGTCTTTGATAAGAGAATATCTGCACCTAGAAAAAAAGATGGTGCTAACGTATACATGAAGAGACCATGAATCAATGCTGCCCGATCTCAAATCTGTTGGCAACCCGTTCATGTCACTTTCTTCATTGAGAATATAAGCTATAAATCATTTTCCAATGTACTACTATCTCTTTCTTAAATAAGAGCTAGTTAATTAATTTTAATAGATTAAGAAAATTTGTTAAATTAGTTATTTGTAATAATTAAGTGTTGTCTTTCCTAAAATACCATTATTAATCATGTATTAGTTAAAACTACCATTTAATTGAACATTTAATATGTACAACTACTATATGGATTACTTTAAGAAAATAGATAAATATGAGAGATAAAGTGGATTGAGATCTTATATTTTAGGAAGTCAAATTAACTCTTATATTAAGGATCGGAGATAATATTAATGTCTTGCAGTGTCACCTTCAGGTTTGAGCTTATACACGCGGGCGTGTTCTTTCTCTGTGGGGGGAAACAAATGCACATGCAATGATGGAGTCACAAGTGTCAGGCTCCGAGATGGATGAGTTCAAGGCAGTGGCTGAACGTTTAGGATGCAAGTACGGATTTGAGATGTTGCAGATGCTGGTCCAATATTTGCCAGCAATACGTGCAAGAGACGGTGGAGTTCAGGCGGCAAATTAAAATGCTTGGCATTTCTAGGACTAACATGTTTATGACAGCCTTCCTTTCTACCCATTTACGCAACTTCCTTAGTTGATTCATCAATGTGTTTTGATTACTATCAAGGGACCCGGCGGGACCGTTTCTACTCGTATTTCTAACTAGCGTTCTTGTTTGTTGAGTTTTATAGCTTATCATGGGCACTTGGTTGTGTTGTGAATAGAGTAAATCAATTCATGTTGCTATCGTCCTATTGTTGAACAAACCATAGCTCAAGACAAAAGGCACTTCAAGGGCTAAAATTTAGACGAAGAATCATCGCTGAAAAACATACCTGTAGGGTCAATGATGGGATGCCAAAGCTGCATGAAAATTCTTTTGATAAAGGGAAGGTTATAGGTTCCATCCTATGAAGTGTATGAGCATGTATTTAGTTGTAGCTGCCCATAACAATGAAAAAGAAAAAGAAAACACATATCTTATGGCTTAAGAAATAGTGATCACATTAATGTTCAATATCATGCCTCTGATTTATTACAGGGACTGGAAATAGGTCTTGTTCTGAGTTATAGATGGCAAAACACCTTGGTAATTATCAGCAAGAAGACCCAAAAATTAGAAGAGGAGGGGGTGTACTCCCCACTTTTAGCTTCTTAAACATGAGAAAACCACGTAACAGACCAGGAGCAAACACAAACATTGAGAGATTAATAATTCTCAAAATTCATCTAAACTATTGTAATTTACCGAAGTCAACAATACATCACAGAGAAATTAGTTCTACTTGGAATACTTATGACAGCAGTTCAACAATTTTTGTACATCTCTATCATTTACAACTGCGGCATTCGCTTTATCATTATCATAATCCTTAGCAGCAGCCCACTGATTCAAGATGCTGATCATCCTCCTGAGCTATTGCAGATGTAAAGGAAACAAAGCCGATTAGAGCAGGTAACGGCATTTGGTTTTCTAATCATGCAATCGTAAAAATTATGAAGAGTGTGATTTACTCCAGTATCTTCATGCGAGGAATCTAATTTCTTGAACATCGATACTGAATTTCAATTCCTTTCATCTAAATGGGTCCCATAATTGTGAACAACAAATGCAACTATATTAAGAAAGGATACAGATGTAGTTCTAGCATCTGTTGTTGAGCCCGGAGGATGGAAGCTCTCATGCCCATCTCTAGAATCATCTGACTGTTGGTTAAGAAGCTCGTCTTCAATCAGATCAACTCTGCCCGCAAGAACTGAAACATAACGATATACACTTGACGGGCTCATCTCAGCCTCTCGAATTCTAACTAATACCCTTGCAATTATGTTCCATAGTGCATTTCTTGCTTCCATATCATCCGAAGCAAAAGGGAATATGTCAAGCAGACCTTCTAAAAAAGATAAATCTGGTAGGTACAAATATGTCATTTACAATTTTTGTCAGTCAATCCAGAAACAAAGAAAATAATGAGAAATTGAAATTTATGGATAAGAGTTGCATAATTTACCCTGTGATATCTCAAAAGCTCGATCAGTTACATCGGCCAAAATATTTGCAATAAGAACTGCAGCAGTAACACAACAGCTGGCAACCTACAGAATACATACAGTTAACGAAACCATTTTCATCCCCTTTTCAACCCAAGAAAAAATAAAAAGCATAGGTTCAGTAGATGCTATTCAAGGGAAAGAAAAGAAAGAAGAAGAAACCATGCTGTTCACTCCAAAGAGAATAAAGGGCCGTTATTTGATAATAAGTAAGCTTGTAAAGCATTTGCAGAATATATATGTCATTGGAAAGTTCAGAACAAATCCAGAATCTGAGACTGCATAAACAATTGTGATATCTTTGAGTAAATCATGGCAACTGTAAACCATACCTCAACTTTATCTGGGAACTTAATGAGACAAGAGATTAGTTCAAATAACTTTTGACTTGAACATATTTCCTGAGAATGATCATCTATAACAGAAAGGGCTTCAATTACTCGAAGAAGTAAATCCAGAATTGAGTACCTGACCATGTAAGATATTAGTTTATTCAGTATATATATATATATATATATTTATATCTATCCGGATTGATAATTATATAATGTGAATTTTAACTACAGATATGTCAGAATCAGCATCAGAAGATGTTGGAAGCGCAGAAGATCATTAAAAAAAAAAAAAAAAAACTGTTGAACTCTTGATCAACATACCTTTCAGGCATTCTTTCACTCATTAGTTTGCTCACCTCAAAATCCAAGAGACTAATCAATAAACTTGTTAAACCCAGCTTCACCATAGGCGGAAGAAGAGTATCCACAACTTCCTGACCACTTTCTAATATAGCCAGAATAAGCCCAATGCTCTGTGGAAAAGCAGGATATTCTTAGTTATTGATAAGATGCTACTACTAAATTACACAACAACCCAAAAAGAATTAAAAAGGGCAATCAAGTGACACCCTATCAATTTAGCATATTCCTGCAATGGAAGGATATCATGAGAAAGAGTTGCTAACTCATGCTGCATTTGAGTAAGGTTGATAATTTTTCCTCTACCAGATTTCATACAATAAGAATAAAACATAAAAGATATCACCACCTTCTCTATAAGCTGAGGGTTTAACGTATTTTCTACAATCCATAAGATGCGGCCTAGTATCTGTTCAGACTGCAATGCCTCACACCATTTGATAGATTCACCACTCTGAAGGCCCACGGTTAACAATCTGTTTTCAGAACCAACTATAAAATAATTTCACAGCATGTATAGGCAAGATAACTTGGTCAAAAAGGAGAGTAGTGATGCCTTATTTAAAATGTGGCATAAAAAATCAGGAAAAATAAATAAATAGTTGATTGTGCCAATTTTATGTTTGATTACTGCATCTATGCTTGGATTTTCAAAATGCCAATCAGTAATAATATATGCAAGAATTAGCTACTTCTGTTTCCTTGGTGGCAAAAGAATCATCAGATACGAAATAAGCAATTTCTTTCTCAGACAAGTTGTACATGACAAAAATGTAGTCAGATTGTCACCAGAAAAAAAAACGAAGCCAGATATGCAAGCCTGTCAAGAATCAAGTGTACTGAAAATACACCATACCGGCATACTTCACACAGGCACTGGGGATCATCCAGAAACAATTTATCCACAATTATCTCAATCAGTCCATTAGTCGAGGCTAAATGTTTCATCGGAACTTCATGACAGGCTAAATTACCACAAATTCCTATCATAATTTCCTGGAGAAATTAAACGACAACATGATGAAAAAGAAACAGAATTAGAATTTGCTTAATTATATTTTCTTTTCATGATACAAAAGCATACAATAAAAAAGAATGCGATTCATGGAAGAAACTTTGATAAGTGTCTCACAGTAACACGCAGGGATTTGCAAGCCATCAGATTTGCAAAAATAACTTCGAGTAGGAGATTCTCCACCTAAAAAATTATGCCACACCACTATTTCAGCTCAGTTAAAATAAAAAATCCTGAAATCAATCAATGACACACTATGTGCAGTTACAGTAATGTTAGAAGTAAGATGATGGTTGAACTGTCAATAGAAAAAGTTCTACCAATAGAAATGCAAAGTAATCAGTTGATTAGAAACTTGATGATAAATGGAGAAGAGTGAGTTGAAAAATATGCATCAAATCATAAAGGGGACAAAAATTTTAAAGAAAAATGAAATTGCCTTTTAAAGGAACTTTAAAATGGTTTTGAAGGACCATGTTAGGAGTTAGAACCATATCCTAATTCTAATAAGCTAATTATTTGAGTAGATTGCATCCATACTAGAAACTCATAAAATCTAACACCCATTTACCATGAGTTCTGCATGCATTTTACTGGCAGCTAGATCCCACAAAACGCAACCATATTCTTCCCAGGCTTCATCTCCCACTGAGGCACCAGATTGTTCGAGTCCATTACACAGATCTCTAAGTTCTCCTTGCTGATGAGAGAATTCACCAGAACTATCAACATCCATATTCTCAGATTTTTTCCTTGATGATTCAAAATGCTCGTCTTTAGACGTGGAGGCTGCATTCCCTTCTTCGGTACAGGTAGGCGATCCTTGGTTTGGGGCATCAGAAGCAACTCCATCACAATTACTATTAGTACCAGGACCAGAAGGCAGAAGCTTTCTTATCAGCGATATTATATAACTCGGATCAACTGTTGTCGATACATCAAAAAACTGCATCAGAAATATACAGATAAGAAATATTATACATCAACTGTTGTCGATACATCAGAAATATTAAACAACACGTAGTGTTCATTAACTCAAACTCAACGGCTGAATCACGAGCTTTCAAAATATCAGTTTCTTTTCTCTCGTTTCTTTAGAGAAACTTGAAGGTGAGAGTTGGTCGCATAAAGCTGCACTGTACGAATTAGGAAAGGTAAAGGACCTAAGAACCTAATTTCAGCGTAAAGTCCACTTAAAAAATTCCTTTGGAGACTCGGTAAATCCAACGGAGAAGCTTCCAGGGCCTCCAAAAATTTTATCGACAAGACTTTAAATTGAGAGCGCAAATTCACAAAACTGTGATAGCCCAACAAAGTAAATGTGGGAGAATCAGCAACGTAAACAGGATGGTAGCCCAGCTAAAGCAGCAACCACTCTGGTTGCAGTCTAAAGTGCTATGTGTTTATTTTAAAAAACAGCTCAGAAGGATTAAGACGTGAAGGTGCTAACCTCATCAAGAGGCGCAGATGGATGGTGCGTCGGACCGACAAACTCTTCTTGTTGATGTTCATCCTCTTCGATAGTTAAACCAGACCGGACCGCCATCACTCTCGGTTGTTCCCTCCAATTTCCCAAGAATTGATTATAGCTTCCACGGCTGTCGGGGAAGCGAAATACATTTGGCTTCCCTTTCTTCTCATATTAATGTTATATGTCTTTTCTTTCCAACGCTTTTTTTTTAACCAGTAATTTAAAAAAATTAAAAAAATAAAATAAATTAATTATTTATAATAAATAGATATTAATTTTAAAAAAAATATTTTTAGTATATTAATTAGAACTATTATTATTAGAAAATTATTTTAAAAAAAATATAAATACATTAAAATCTTATATTTAAAATAAAAATAAAAATTAAATAAGACTTTTTATTAACTAACAAGACAGTGTATATATACACACGCGCATTCATCTACAGATAATTTGTCCTTTCTCTTTTATTTTTTCTGAGTAGTATTTCTTTTTTGACCTCAATTATTCTTTCTGAATATTTAGCTCGGCTTAATGGTTTTAAGCCCATATTTTAGAAATATTTTGTTCCTTTTCAGGAAGTTTGCACTTTCCCTTTTTTTGGACAAAATTTTGCACTTTTCTCACATTCCGTAAGCCTTCCTCTAAATTTTTCTCACCTGAAATTTCCTCTCTCTCTTTTTTTGTAATTAACCGAAGTATATATTTTTCTTCAAAAAGAAAAAGCGTAAAGGTGTAAAATTGTTGGAAACATTTTACAGACCGGATGGAGAAAAAAAGAAGAATTATATATAGATTTTTTATAATTAATTGTTTGACTAATAAAATGACCCTAACGATTATACAAAAGGAAGCAATCGGACTTGCCACGCGTCAAGCTTATATCGACATTTGGAAAACGATAACTCAACAAGACTGAGCGACCGAAGGTAACTTGCAGCCACTAATCTCTTCTTCGTCTGTTCTCTCTCTTTTCCCTCCCTCCTCCTGAACCTGTTGGCTTGTATCTGTTAATGATAAATCCAAATATAATGACTGTGTCGAAATAAGTAAATCTTCGTTTAGCTTTGCTGTTTACGCAACGCTACTTTGAGCTTCCATTCTCGCCTGCATTCTACATGATCATCACGACCATAGCCACAGGACAATATGGCTTTCACTTGGTCCCGCCTGCTTCTTTCTCGCTCTTCACCTTCCACCTACTCCATCTTCTCCGATCTTACCCTAGCTCGCTCTGGTGACATGCTATGTCCCACATCTTCTTCTTTAGTCCACCGAAGCAGCATCTCCCTTGAGCTTCCATTTACCCTCACAACCAGGCTTTTGAGGTCCAGACTCCAAGTCCAATGCTCCGCCAAATCCACGGGGGAGGAGCAGCGAACTTCGGGAGAAACTGTCTTGTCTTATTCCAGCGAAGCCAGACATCACGAGACAAATGAGGCACAGAGATCGGTCTCCACCTCGTCAGGAGATTCTTTCTCTCTTGGAATTCGAGAACCAGTTTATGAGGTCTGTTGTTAATTGTTACCAACCACCAGTTTTTCTTTCTCAATTCTGGAATTATAGTTACCGTGAAGTAATAATTTGGGTCAACTGTTAGATGTAACATGCAACGAGTGGTTCATGTACTCCCGAATTGCAAGGATTCATCTTCTTGGTTTACTCTCGATAGTCTTTTTAAGGTGTTTCTTGGTAAAATAAGATTCAATGGGAAGTGTCAGAATTATTGGAAACAAGACAATATAGATGTGTCTAGTGAGTTTTTTTGGATCGCCTAGCTGGTTTTCTACCTCCATTTGATTTCTTCACGTGATTTTTTTTTCCCTAGCCCCTTTCAATTTTTTCTGTGTGAAGGTTTTGGAGGTGAAGTCTAATGGAACGGTATCAACCAGAACAATCAACAGAAGACAGCTGTTGAAGTCAAGTGGTATAGAATTCTATACCTGAACTTGGAAAGTGCCATGCTATTTAAAAGGCGTTTTGTTCATGTTAAAGTTTCGCTTGCTTAACTTTATCGAAATTGCATTACAGAAAATTGTACATGTCTCTGTGTAAGTAAAGTAATTGCAATTACCGTAACCCTTTTTTTTTTGGGGGTCCATTGCACCCAATAGACTTCTCCTTTACATTGTGTATGTGTGATGTTATGGAATCCATTAAACCCTCCAAAGCATAATATATATCTATATCTCTTTTTCATTGATATTTTCATATGATCTAATTGTACTGCTCTGTTTTGCGAGTATTCTATTACCAGGTCTTCGTCCACGAGATGTTCGAAGTGTGGATCCTTTACTGTTTTTGACAAATTCAATGCCTTCTTTGCTGGTATACTTTTGCAGTGTTTATATCTTAGTAATAGTGCAACTTGCTATAGAGTTTATTGTATATTATATATATTGATACACTCATACATTGATGTACAGTTCTTCTAATTATTTTTCAGTTAGAACCCTTACAATGTGATTAGCTGAGTATTAATTCCCCCACTATGCTATGTTTTTTAACAATATAATCGTTAATGTGATTGGAAGTAGCTAGTAAACGAGTCACTTGGAAGTTAATATGAAGGGAAAGGTTCAGTTATTTTTGAAATGTTGAATTATTAGCTGATACTGCATTATTCAGAAATTCGACTTCAAATTTTTTATTTTTGATCAATTATAGCATAAAATTATACCCAAATTACTTTCTCCCTCTGTTTTGAAAAATTAAACTTGCCTTCTTTTAAGTCAAAAGATGCAATTCATTGACTTTCCTAGCTCAGAGGATAGGTTACAAGTACACTTTCTTTGGGCCAAAAAAAAGATTACACTCATTTTGGCTAAAATACCCATATATATATATTACCTACGTGATATAATGTATAGGCACACATATATATTAGTCAATTACTTAATAAAATTGGGTTTTCAAATCAAAATCAATAATAAAAAATTTTCAGAAATATTTTCTGATGTTATATTTTAAGGTAAAAGAAATTGAGTGTCCTTAAGGTTGTTTTGATTATTACGTTTGTCTATATTAATGTAGGGGAGGTTTACTCTACTTATGCGTTTGCTGTTAAGAAATCTAGTAAATTGACAACACTTTTTGATCTCATTTATTTATCAAATTTCTGCTTCTTGTATTAGGTCCGTGAGCATGCTATTCTTCTAAATTTGGGTTCATTACGAGCAATAGCAATGCAGGAGCGTGTGCTTATATTTAACTACAACTGGTAATACTAACCTTTTGAAATGTCTTGCTTAATTATTATATGCTGCTTCACTGTCATTATTTATGTACATGAGAATGAACACCTGCCTCCTTTGATGCTTAGCAGTAAAGGAGGGAAAGCTTTTTTAGAGTCATTACTGCCTCGGTTAAACCCTAAGAACAACAATGGAGGACCATCCATGCCATTTGAGCTCGAGGTTCGTCTGTATACAAAAGTACTAGAGTTGCTGTCAATTTCTGATATAGGCATAATGATAAGTGCTAAATCTGTAACTTTCAGGTTGTTGAAGCAGCACTTCTTTCAAGAATACAGCATTTAGAACAGAAACTGATGCACTTAGAACCTCGTGTGAGTATGTGGACATAGTGAGTAACTGTATATCTCTGCTGATCCCCTGCTCTCTTTTAACTTCCTGAGTAAAAATAACAAGTTTATTTTCTGTTTCCCAGGTTCAAGCTCTTCTTGAGGTCTTGCCGAACCGACTAGCTGGCAATATATTGGAGGAACTTCGTATCAGCAAACAAACATTGGTATTTTATTTGTATTTTTTTTTTTTCAAGAAGTTACCTGTCTTCAGGTTGTACTGGTAATGCACCATGGGCTGCAGTCATCATTTGCGACCTTGCCAAATTGCTAGGTTGAGTTAGGTTCGAGGGCAGGAGCTCTCAGACAAATGCTTCTTGACCTCCTGGAGGACCCTCTTGAAATACAGCGTATATGTATTATGGGCAAAAACTGCATGCTTAAGAAAGGACACGACAATGTGGAATGCTCAGTAGCCTCAGAAAAGCAGATTGCTGAGGGTAAGCTGTAATTTGAAGGTCTTTTTTTCAGTTGCTGTCGTAATATTGATCTGACTATAGAGGATTTATAAGTTGATAGCAATTTGAAGTTTATTTCTCACTATATGTGTGTGTGTGTGTGTGTAGAGGAAGAGGAGGAAATCGAGATGCTTTTGGAAAATTACCTTCAAAGGTTATTCTCTATCTTATTTTGAGCATTACATTTCATAATTGATTTGTATGTTTATGTGCTCTGAGGATTGCATATTTGCAGATGTGAATCTTGCCATGGCCAAGCTGAAAGGCTTCTGGATTCCGCCAGAGAAATGGAAGATTCTATATCTGTCAGTCTAAGGTTTGATATCATCTCCCTTTCTCTGCATCATAATCCTCCCCTCTCAGGAGAATTGCTAAATTTTTGCAGCTGACTGAAAAGTAATTCCTATCACATGAAAGAGATCACTTAGTTTTATGATGAAGCCACTGTTGTGCTAGTCAATTGGTTAAGTTAGTTTACTTCGTATGTGCAAATTAGTTACTTTTGTCCTATAATTAGGAACAAGGCAGTAATTTGCATTTATCTCAGTTTGTACCTGCATTGGCCAACTTTGGATTTAACATTATGGCAAAGTTAAGCAAGAGAAGACTGATCAAGAACTTAAAAGTGCATTCAGAAGTACCCAACAATCAAGAATGGACAAAATCTTTGGTTGCTGCTATGATGTTTCAAAATTAGAGAACCACTCAGATTTCCTTTTTGAAACAGTACGAGACAAAGTTGCTTCAGAACACATGCATAAACTGAGCCATGGTTTAGCTTAGCTTTAAAAATTTTGATAAAATACTGTATTGGCTGGTAAAAAAAAGTTGTTTATGTCAAGAACCATATTTGTAATCAATCTTGTTTGTTTTAATAAAATTAATTTCTTTCATCAGCTCAAGGAGGCTTGAGGTTAGCCGAGTGGAACTACTTCTTCAGGTTGGAGCATTCTGTTTGGCAGTTGGTGCCCTTATAACAGGTGTATTTTTTTCGCTAACTAATTTACTATGTAAAAAGTTTAAATTGTGGTATTAAATGGAATGGAATGTTAGCAAAAAATATCCACAAAAAAA